CTTCATTTGCTCATGTTTCTTCTATTTACTAAAGATTTTTTTTAAAGATGGGAATTTTTAAAAATTTATTTTATTTTAGCAGAGCATAGGGTCCTGTGGAGGTCAGAAGAGGGCATTGGATCCCTTGGAACTGGAGTTATGGACTGCATTAAATGCCAGTGCTGGGGATTGCCTCTGCAAGAGCAGTCAGTGCTCTTAACTGCTGAGTCATCTCTTCAGCCCAACCATATCTTTCCTTTTTATGTTGAGGTAGATTTTCTAAAAATCTAATTATTATATAGATTTTCTAAGGTACATTTTGGCTACTTCATTTGCTCATGTTTCTTCTATTTACTAAAGATTTTTTTTAAAGATGGGAATTTTTAAAAATTTATTTTATTTTAGCAGAGCATAGGGTAGAAGAGTGGGAGCCCCACATTTATGGCTGCACTGTAAAGTCCACACTCAAATACAGATCCTGTGACTTCCCGACAGCTCCACAAAATTGTGAGAGAGGTGCTTCTTGGTGTTCTCCCCTTATGTATACTTTGCCCCTCCCCCCCACATGCAGCTAAGGTCCACTGATTGGGTGGGAGGGGTAACTGACTCCCGCCTTGACACCTTGATGAGAGTGGGAATGAGGTGTGGCTATAGCTTGTCAGCATAGTGGTTGGAGGATATTTCCCAGTTAACATTCCACCCCTTTCTCTGGCTCTTACATTCTTTCTGCCAACCTCTTCTGCAAAAGTCCCTGAACCTTGGAGGGGGTGATAGGTGTGGGATGATCTCCCTCCTGTTGTGGCAAGGCACGGAACTTTCAGGTCTCTGCATCATTTGTTTTCCATGGGCTGTTGGCCAGTTTGAATGGGACTCCATTTACGCCACATGGAGGCTGGACCCAGGTGCTCTCAAGTGGTCTGCTAGGTTCTCAGCATCAAAACCAGATGGAGACCAGAACAGCCACTCTCAAGCTTTCTGTGAAGGCCTCAGCCTTATCCTACCATGGGGCAGAGGTCTAAAGATGGAATTTTTTTATGAATATGTCATCCTTGGATAGGAGCCATGCCAATCATCTCTGTATTGTTCTAATTGTAGTTTGTGTGTTGCTGAATCAAACACTAAGGTTTCTTTTTAGTTAGGCATTTGTTGACATTTTCTTTCAACAGTTGAAGTTTGATTACTTTTTAAACAAAATTTTATTTGTATTTACTTCTATATGTGTATTTGTGTGTATGTGCATGTGCCCTTGGACACCAGAAGAGGGCATTGGGTCTCCTGGAGCTGGAGTGACAGGTGGTTTAAGCCATCTGACATGGGTGCTGAGAACTGAACTCGTGTCCTTCAGTAGAATAGCAAACACTCTTTACAACCAAGTCATTTCTCTAGCCCTCAATTACTCTTTTAATTCTGGAGGTACCTTGAGTACTCACATAAATTCAACTCTTTATTTATTTTTATGTGTATGAGTGTTATGCCTACATGTCTGTATGTGCACCCGTGTAGTGCAGTTTCTGTGGAGGACAGAACAGGGCATCAGATCTCCTGGAACTGGAATTAGCTGCCATGAGGGTGCTGCGATTCGAGCCCAGGTCTTCTGCAAGAACTGCCAGTGCTCTTAACTGCTGAACTATTTCTCCAGCCCCCAAAGAATCCATTTTTAAACTTACACCATGTAAACAGATTGTTTTTTATCATTTTTAGACTTTTTAAATTGATTTTTTTGTTTATTTTTTTGACAGAATCTCCCTAGTTCCAGTCCCTCTGGAGCTCATGGTGGACTAGGCTGCCTCTATCTCATAGAGGTCCACCTGCCTCTGCCTCCCAAGTGCTAGGATTTAAAAGTGTGCACCCCCATGTCCAGCTTTAAATTTTGTTAACCCCTCCCCCTTTAGTGGAAATTTAAAGATGTGTGAGCTCTTTGCAAGGTGTAGTAGCCATATACAGTTAACTTGTAAGGAAGGTGTCATGCATTCAAAAGGTCACTTAAGGTTAATGCTAGTAAAGTGCAAAGGAGTTACTACTGTCCAGTTTGCACCAGTCAGGTGAGTCCTTGATATATTCGTCTTTTGGCTTCATACCATGGGCAAAGCATTTCTGGATGGCCTGATCATGTCTGGAGCCACAAATAGCTCAGTGTAATTACAACACATATCTGTATATGAAACCCTCCCATTTAAAAGAAATTTTATTTTTATGTGTATCAGTGTTTTGCCTGCATGTACAAAAGTGTACCACACACATGCAATGCAAGAGGGCATCAGATTCCCTGGAACCGGAATTACAGATGGTTGTTAGCTGCTAGGTGGGTGCTAGGAACTGAATCCCCGTCCTCTGCCAGAACAACCAGTGGGCTTAACTGCTGAGCCATCTCTCTAGCCCCCTGCTTTTAAATATGTTTTTCAATAACAAGCATCAATGTAAATCCTCTTAACTTTGCAATTAAATGATGCACCCTGGCAAACTGGATTTGAAAATCCCATCTCACTTTTTGTTTGCATAAACTCACTTCACTGGTGAAGAAAAACATTCAAAGGATGAAAAATTATTTGGTATTTCATACCAAATGTGGAAGAACTCAGCAGTAACTATATTCACATCAGTTAAAGCATACTGTAGCCCAATGTGAGTCAGAAGTTGTTAGGAAATTTTTTGTAGATTAGGCTAACAGGACATATCAATTAGAAGTGTGCATGAACTGAATGTTGAAACATGCTCAGGCAAGATTGGCCTTAAACTTTTTTGTTTTTGTTTTTGAGTACAGGTCTCACTATGTTTCCCTTGACCAGAAATTACTAAGTAGACAAGGCTGGCCACAAACTCAGAGATCCACCTGCTTCTGCTTCCCAAATGCTAGAATACTTTACACTACTGACCTTTCTGTGAACCTAAGGATAGAACCCAGGGCTTCATTTATGCTAAACATGAAGTATACCAAATCAATTACATCTCCATTCCTCAGTTCCTTTTCAAAGTTTTAATGAAATCAGGAAACCATGTCTTCTTTATAAATAACTAAATTTACACCTGTAAATTAATGCTTCTGCCAGCTTTGGTCAGAGATGCTTCTTTTTGCAATAGGCAGTTGTTACTGCAAAGACTCAAAGCTGGTCCAAGTGATGCGAATAAGTGATTAATGCTCATCCTGTATCACTTTCAAGGCTAAGGAAATAACAGGTGGAAAGTAAGTAAGCCAAAGCAATTGGAGCATGTAGAATGCTGACTTGTGGTCATGTTATGAATGTTACACCCTCGAGTTTGTAAGAGTTGTGATTGCCTCTACAAGACCTGTATAAAGTTAAGTCTATCAATGTCCTCATGAAGGGTGAAGGAACTCATGAGTCCCCACTTCTACCTGGGGATTTACATCTTTTAGGGGAATGAGGCATGTTCTTCAGTACCGTAGTCACTGATAAGATATCCATACTCCTGTAAACAATCCATCATGGATGCTCCCATAAACAACCCTGATGAAACCCAGGGCATCATAAAAAAAAAAGATATGAAAATAAGAAGTATTGGAAAGAGGAAAGGGTTCATGCCAGTGGAAATTCTTTCCAGAGGGTAATGTGTGAATATGGTAAAAACATATATATGTATGAAAATTTCATGATGACACCAATTATGTATAACTAATATATGCAAATAAGACACCATAAAAACCAACATTACTTAAAATTTCCCCAAGACAACACCATATAAGAATACTCTAGCAAGTGAAAGAACTCTATAATTAACAGAGATAACATTGAGAATGACACTAGAATAAGACAAGATCACCTATGGTCATGGAATAATGGACCTAATAAGTGGAAGATGTTTTTATAATGGAAAAATCTAAACATTCAGTGTAGTCCCCAGGAAATCCCAATACACTTATAATAGAACTGGAAATTTTTCTTATATAGTTAAAATGGAAAAGCAATAAATGCCCAAAGGAATCCTATTTTAAAAGTGTAATTCTGGAGTTGCCATGATATCTGCATTCTAATTGTGGTAGAAAATACTTCTAATATGCTGAGACAATGAAGATAGCA